TTTTTGATGTTCAACACTAGAATGGATAAATATATTGTGTATAGTCACATAATAGAATTTTGTGTGCGAACAAAATATGTAAATAGCTACAAATGCAAAACATGCGATTAATCTTTTTTTTTTTTTTTTGAGACAGAGTCGTCGCTCTGTCGGCCCAGGCTGGAGTGCAGTGGCGTGATCTGGTCTCACTGCAAGCTGCCACCTCCCAGGTTTCACGCCCATTTCTCTCTCCTGCCTCAGCCTCCCGAGTAGCTGGGACTAGAGGCGCCCGCCACCACACCCGGCTAATGTTTTGTATTTTTAGTAGAGATGGGGTTTCATAGTGTTAGCCAGGATGGTCTCGATCTCCTGACCTCGTGATCCACCCGCCTCGGCCTCCCAAAGTGTTGGGATTACAGGCGTGAGCCACCGCGCCTGGCCAGGATTAATCTTATAACTATAATGTTGGGCAAAAGAAGCCAGGCACATAAAAGAATAAATTTTGTGTGATACCACTTACAAAAAGTTCAAAATTTATCTATGGTATTAGAAGTCAGGAAGTGGTTACCTATAGTAAGGAAGATGGAGATAATTGAGAAAGGGCACAGGGGACCTTTAGATGCTGGCAGTGCTCTATTTCTCCATTTGGGGAGTGTTTTACACAGGTGTGTTCACTTTAATTCATCAAGCTGCACATAAAATTTTTTTCACATCTTTATAATTGTTATACTTGAATAAAGTTTATTTCAAAATAAAAATATGTTTTGGACTATGGCTTAAAAATTTTGAAATCAATACCATTTAAGTGCTTTTATGTCTAATGTTTCTTTCCTTGAATAAATTCCTAAAGGATGAAGGAGATTTCTGGCTTTCAGAGTGACTTCAGGAATGGGAGATACTTCTTAGAAGATGCATTGAATATCATCCAGATCATTAAAGGCCACATACCAATAAAATTTGAACTTCTCTAGAGGAGAGGCTATTTTATTCACTCACATGTGCCTAATACTTATCACAAAAACTGACTCAGCTTTAGACCAGGCATGGCAAATAGGTTTCATTAACTCTGCCAATTCCAGACTATTAGTAATAGTGATCTGGAACCCTGTAGAGGAGAATGCATTCTGAAACTGCATCCAGGGATCAGTGGGAAAGATTCTATGATTAGTTAGCAATGTCTGCCATGGGTGCCAAAGACAAAATGGTAGCACATGCAACACATACTCGCCATCTGAGGCCTAAAGATTTCACGACCATGGGATCTTGGCTGATGATGTGGGGCACTGAATTAAGAGCATTGTTTGCCTAGGAACTCATCATAGGACCAGAAGGATTTTAAGCTAATAATGGATGATATGACAGAAAAGCCAATGAATCGGTCTGTTAATTACTGTAAAGGAAGTCAGGTTTGATGGAAAGAAAATTAATAGTCAAGAGTGTTGGTAGGAAGTCAATGTGAAATGGAAAGATAATCCAAAACAATACTTTGACCTCCAATTTCTATGGTAGCATCTTTTCCCAGACAGATGTTCCATGGGAAACTGCTCTTCCAGACATTTATAAACAGGCCTACTCCCGGTATTTTTGAGACCCGAGTATAAATTGAAGAGAATAAATTGAAGCTGCATATCATATGAAAACATTGAAAAGTTTATAAATCAAGCTAACATACTGTTAGATAAAATGTCTTCTAGCCACCTACTTTGACAAAAATACCTTCAAAATGATAAAATTGAAAAATTTGTAAATAGCTATGGTCTTTACATGATTGAAAGGTGGCAAAAATCAAGGATGAATTTAATTATTATTGTGCATGTTTGGTGGTTCTGTTGATGGTCCAGTGATGTTTGGGTGAGTAATAACATAAAGGCATACATGATTGTTCAGTTATTTTGTATTTATTCTATAGCATTTACTCCCTTGCCTTCATTTCATCAAAATCAAGATTTATATAAGATACTTTTTTTGACAATAATGTCAACTAGATATAACCAATGTCTGTAATATATAACTGTAGTTTCTGAATGTTTTAAAAAATTATTTCCATTTGGAGAAATGTTGCTCTGCTGGGGCAGCGTCAACTGTAATTGCCAATAATATTCTCAAAGTAACACCTAGATTTGGAAACCAGGAATTTTACATATCATGTATATCATTACAATGGTGTTGCATATATAAATGATCATTATCAAAGAATATATTACAAAAATATTTAATTTTATATATTAATACTTACATCATGCTTTTTAAAACCATCTTATCTGGATTCAAATAGTATTTCTTAAATTCTTTCAAAAACATTTTTCATTGTTGGGATATTCTAAAGAAAATCAAAAACAGAAATATCATACTTGATTGGTTTAAATTTCTCTTTTAGAGACCACATCCTGATATACTTTGACCAGAAAGTGGTTTCCATAGAAATTCGTTTCAGGATCATTTGTAGGTAAATCTCCTTGAGAGTCATGCAGATTCCTTTGTTTTCATGTTCTGATATCCTAATATTTTATTGAAATACCATGCTTTGTCACATATTTCTTTTCTTTTCTTTTTTTCGAGACGGAGTCTCGCTCTGTCGCCCAGGCTGGAGTGCAGTGGCGTTATCTCGGCTCACTGCAAGCTCCGCCTCCTGGGTTCACGCCATTCTCCTGCTTCAGCCTCCCAAGTAGCTAGGGCTACAGGCGCCCACCACTACACCTGGGTAATTTTTTGTATTTTTAGTAGAGATGGGGTTTCACTGTGTTAGCCAGGATAGTCTCGATCTCCTGACCTCGTGATCCACCCACCTCGGCCTCCCAAAGTGCTGGGATTACAGGTGTGAGCCACCGCGCCCGGCCTCTTTGTCACGTATTTCACATGAGGTTTCTTTTTGTTTTTTAGAAAAACAATTTTCTCTAAAATTAAAAAAGAATTTAATCATTTTAATAGTGAAATCATTCTATAAGATGAGGTTTTGCTAAGAATTTTAGTAGCAAGCAATAGTTTATACCAAATAACGATGAACAGTGCAACTTCAATTTTTTTCATTTCATTTTTCAACAAATACCATAATACACTTTTAATTTGAGGTTCTTTTATTGTTTCACTGAACTCCTTTTGGACATTTCATATCTTGCCTAAATTAAATCTAATTTCTTGAACAACATTCAGTTGGATTACTAATTAGCGTCCTAGGATGGTTGTAATATCAAATTCAGTATGTTTTTCTCAAGATTGTTCCATCTTTGGGCAGACCTAGAAAATATAATATATAATCTTTTAAAACCGCTTCAAAGAATGTCTCTATCAGAATAGCTGAGGCCACATCTTCTAATATCAAATTCAAACAATTTGACATACATGACACAAAGAATGCTCTGGATTTGACAGCAGAATTCTGGCTTATGCACCCTTTTATTAACTATGTTAGGGCCCTCAACAATCTTTGACATTCCTTATATTATTTATATAAAATGAAAATGTTTTAATTTTAACTTTAAACTGTATTAAATATTGTCATGAAAATAAAAGTATTTGCCCTTTAAGCATAAGATTAAATGGCTTCTACCCACCTACTAGTCCATCTAGTTACCAATGTAAAGAATTGGTATCGTATAGTCCATTGCACATCTAGACAAATGCATATATACATTTGTATGTATGTATATGCATATATACATATATATGCACACAAAAATAAGTTTTAGTTGTTTAGTATTGCAAAATGTTCTTCAGCTACCCTGTGTAACTGTTGGCAGGTACTTGGCCAATTCATGCCAAACCCATGAATCCAAGAAAAGGAAAAAAACGAAGCTTAGTTCTACAAAGAAAAGATATTTTGTTATACCAAAATATATTGTTTTCATGCGATCTGAGAAGGATTTTGACATGTTGATTTTTCTTTTCTCTTACCTAAGCACTTCTCCCACTCAAGTCTCTTCCAGACTCCGAACCCGCGCTGATCATCCATACCAGCAGCAGAGGCACCCACAAACCTTCACTGTGTTTTGATACAGTCACTTTGGTTTTGAGGATGCAGGGAAGGCATTGCAGAACAGCTTTCCTCTGGGTCCTGAACAGTGTTTCTTACACGTGGGGCCCAGGGCAAGGATCCTTCTTGCCTGGGTCTGTGACTGATACAGCAATAAGTGTAGGGCAAAATGAATTTCATGGTCAAATAAGTTTGGGAAATGCTATCTTTACTACAGGAATTATTTGAGACTCTACTATGTTAGAGAATCTAACAAAAGGGGGACAAATGTAATAAATTTGAGTCTTCAAAGAGAGAGTATGTAACTCATTCCAAATGAATTCACCTGCAGGAGCCTTTATTATTAGAACATCTCACAGGACTGGTGTTCCAGGAAGCAGAGTTTAGGAAAGGCTGCTGTAGTTTAGGGTATATGCTTTCTACTCCACAAAGGACTGGAAAGGAAAAGCTACTCTGCAGGGCCATGCAGTATTTGTGAAGAGGCTTTCCTTCAAAGGCAAGTCAGAAGGCCCCTAGAGAATCGCTCCTAGAATTTGAGACAGACTGTGACAAAGGGAGGCTGACTTTTTTGTTGTTGTTGCGATGCAGTCTTGCTCTGTCACCCAGACTGGAGTGCAGTGGTGCAATCTCAACTCACTGCAACCTCCGCCTCCCAGGTTCAAGCGATTCTCCTCCCTCAGCCTCCAGAGTAGCTGGGACTACAGGCATGCGCCACCACACCCAGCTAATTTTTGTATTTTTAGTAGAGATGGAGTTTCACTATGTTGGCCAGGCTGGTCTTTATCTCCTGACCTCAAGCGATCCACCCACCTCAGCCTCCGAAAGTGCTGGGATTACAGGCATGAGTCACCGCTGTGGGCCTGAGGCTGACATTGTATCTCTGATTGTGTGCCTGCTTACTCACTTGACTTGCTGACTTTTCCCTGAGCTACAAGAGCAAGGGGAAAAAAGCACTGGAGAAGCATGTGTGGGATGGTCAGACAGAGACAGGCCCTGGACCACTTGCCCTACTTCCCAGTAGCCAAACATATGGAAGAGAGATCCCACATATACCCAAGGTCCATGGGTTGCCACAGAGAGCAGATGACATAAGGGAGCTTGAGTCTTACAGAAACCATCACAGTGGAGAATGAAGAGGCACAAACATCTTAGGAATGCAACATAATGCTACCAGCTGGAGATCCATGTGAAGATGTGACCAAGTCTTCTGACCACACCAGTGCTGGCCCCTCACCAACTGGGCCAGTTAAAGCCACCATTGTTCACACTAAGCCAACAGACAAGGAGCTAAGAGAGGCTTGTAACATGGAAGACTCTATTTTTCTATCCTTCCTCCTGCCCTGGAGAGAGGAGACAATACCAGGAAGATGAGGACATGGAGCAGATGTGTCCTTCTGTTCCCATTCTATGACTACTGTAGTCATGGCAGGTGAGGAAGAGAGGGAGATTTAAATCACATTTGCAATTGATGCATTTAAAGTGAACTGGACTGAAGCTTTATTTATTTATTTATTTATTTATTTATTTATTTTGAGACAGAGTCTCTCTCTCTTGCCCAGGCTGGAGCGCAGTGACCAGATCTCAGCTCACTGCAACCTCCACCTCCCAGGTTCAAGCGATTCTCCTGCCTCAGCCTCCTGAGTAGCTGGGACTACAGGGGCCCATCACCACGCCTCACTAATTTTTCGTATTTTAGTAGAGACGGGGTTTCACTGTGTTTGAGACCAGCCCAGGCTGGTCTCAAACTCTTGAGCTCAGGCAATCTGCCCAGCTTGTCCCCACAAGGTGCAGAATTACAGGCATGAGCCAGAGCACCCCGCCTGGACTGAATCTTAAATAAAAAGGTGATGGGATTTAGGAAGGTAGTCTGAGAAGTTAAGAGAGCCTTCCACCCAGTAGGAAAGGGGTTTTTCTAGAGAAGAAGAAATAAAACTATTTCATAGTGGTGGTTAAAAGCATGGATATTTGAGGTGGAGTACCTGCACAGAAATGTTGAGTTCTCTTATTAGCTGAGTGACTTTTGATATGTTACTTAATTTTTCTGGGTCTCAGTTACCTGATCTGTAAAATGCGAATAGTATCAATTCTATTCGGTTATTTTGAGGATTGAATGAGTGACTGTAAAACACTTAGAAGCATGCCTGGCAAATAGTCAATTTTGTATATATGGCTGTTAAATAAATATAAAATAATAAAATAAGGGTTTCTTAATAAACTGGTTGTAATGAAATGACTGTAGAGCTAGGCAAGAAATGTAAGTGGTTGAAACAAGGTTGTTGTAAGATTGGGAGTGTTGGGGACTGTGGCAAACTGGGGAGCTAATGCCCTGAGCGAAGAGAGCGGCATGCTCAGCGTGCTTAGCTCCAGCTGCTTGTTACCGTACTGGAATGAGGTCCAGGTAGTTCTGTGGCTTCATAGAAGTTCATTATTTTTAATGGCAAAAACAATAATTACTTTTGCACCAACCTAATAATTCTTCCTTTGTGTGTGTGTGTGTGTGTGTGTGTGTGTGTGTGTGTGACGGAGTCTCACTCTATCGCCCAGGCTGGAGTACACTGGCGCACAATCCCAGCTCACTGCAACCTCCACCTCCCAGGTTCAAGTGATCCTCCCACCTCAGTCCCCCAAGTAGCTGGGATTACAGGCACGCACCACCATGCCCGGCTACTTTTTGTATTTTTAGTAGAGACGTGGTTTTGCCATGTTAGCCAGGCTGGTCTCAAACTCCTGACCTCAGGTGATCCGCCAGCCTCAGCCTCTCAAAGTGCTGGGATTACAGGTGTGAGCCACCATGCCCAGTCGAACTTTGGAATCTTGTCTGAAATATTACCGTTTTTAAATTTGACAACCAATTCAAAAATTAAAAACCACTATGTGGGAAAAACAAAACATACACATGAGCTGGACATGGCTCTCAGGGTGCTAGTTTGCATTTTGTTAGTCACCTGAGCTGGGCAGACCCCGCCTGACTATTAGAAGCAAGGCTTTGGT